ATTTTAAAATTGATCCCTTATAGGGCTAAAAATGCTTTCATAAATCAGTCATCAGAGAAGATGAAGCAGAATCACCTGGAGGTAAGTCATTTTTACTGAGCTGATTCATGAATTTGACTATGTTATTAAGATCAATGATTGAAATTCGATATTTTACTAGGAGGAAATGGAATGAACAAGCAATAATATACTTTAACAGTCCATAGAGCCCAAAAGTGACAATTCGTGGAAACAGGATTTTTCATCTTCAGTTATCCCTTTTGGTTATTCTTACAGACATTTGGATGTAACTAATATATATTCAGGAAAGCCGGATTAGTGAACGTAAACCATACGTTGCAAAAACAGGAAAGTTTTTCTTTGAAATGGAGCTAAACATCTTGGATACTTGAATGAATAAGTATGGACATTCTCAGGTTATTGTAAACTCTGGAAGAAGGATAGAAGAAGATAAGAGTTGGCATAATTCCATTTGTCATGTAGATAAGTCATTTAATATGTTCACTGTGGTGGCTTTATCAAGTTACATCAGGTGCCAGGCCGTCAAGTGGAAGCCAAATGGGAAACGATGAGTTGTGCGTCCAACCCATGGGTAACATGGGGGAAATGGTATGAGGAAGAAATGAAAGGTTGTGGGGAGTGGTCGATCCAGGTTGAAAAGACTGGAGAGAGGAGAGTGAAGTGGCGATGTGCTAGTGAATCCGTATGTCTCACTAGGAACCCAAAGGACAAATAATAAAAGCATACATTTTTACTAATTTGTCAACTTGGTATTCATCATGGTCTGACAACAGGTGAAGGATCATTGGAAACCTGAGAGTGCTGGACAGCTATTTTGTCGTATCACGGGAATCCTCAACAGTGTGCCTCGACCAACAGCTACTAACTTGACGTGGTGGTCGGGTTTCTATATCACATTAACCCAGCAAGTTATGCTGGTGGAACACGTGTTCCCTCGAGGTCCTACCATAGCAGAAACTTCTGTTGGATAGTGGTTAGATGGAAAGCAGTTATCGTTGTGGTGTAACCTACTGCACTGTGATGGAGGTCTGAGGGTGAAGTCGTACTGCTGTTAGCTGGATGGGGTTTGACAGCAGTAAGATGTTTCCCCTTGGATGACCAGCAGTGCCATGTTGATGCTGCCTTCTCAGTAAGAAGGTTAGAGGTCAAGCAGAGGGACAGCCAACAGGGAAATCTATACAGTCAATGACACAACAATCAAAGGAAACAACCAATCAAAGACCACTTCGTGAAGGCAAGCTACTAAATTGACAGCTCACTTCATATTGAAGTTAGTGCTGATGATGTCGTCTAGAAGGACGATGAAAGCTTCATGTTTAAACAACCCAGCTGAGAGAACACAATACAACCAAGACCATCCACCTGACCTACAAATATTCTCCACTATTTTAAAATTTTCTGCATGTAGATAATTTCCTACCAAACTGAATTAAGCATGTAAACATATTATGTAATTTAATATTTAAATTGTTTTAAATTGTCAGCAGCTGATGAAGATCTGAGAAATCAAAATAAATCAAAAGCTTTCACCCCAGCTGTGTTTAAATTTATTAGAGGAGAGATATTGCATTGAATTTTTTTCAGTTTTATGAACTTTTTTATTCAGCTATTAACATAATAAAAGTGCTGCTATATTGTTCAGAAACTTGGCGTGTTATGAAAAGCACTTCCAACAAACTACACATATTCATCAACTACTGCCGCCTACGCTCATTGCTGAAGATCAGATGGCCAGAATAATTAGAGTGGGCAACAAGGAACTGTGGGAATGAACCAACCAAGAACGTATCACCTTACAAATATGTTGAAGAAAGTGGAAATGGATTAGATTGGGCATACACTGAGAAGGCCGATTGGGGACATCATGCTCGAGGTCAGACCCTCGAGTGGAATCCGAAGAGGAAACGTCAAGTTGGGCATCCATGGTGATGGTGACATGGAGGAGATGATGTGAGGAAGAAATGAAAGCTTGTGAGCAGTTGTGTTGCCAGATTCAAAAGCTTGCAGAGAAGAGAGCGGAATGGAGACGTGCTACTGAATCCCTATGTTGGACTAAGAACCCAAAGGAAAAATAGTAATGATAATAATTTACATAATAAAAGAGGACGTAGGAAATCAAATATCGTATGATCTATCTCCTTAAAAGGTTGGAGGAAAGATAAGTTCAGCGAAGTTGCTAAAATGTAACTGACGCTGGTAAAAATGTTAAGTCAACTAACAGCTGATTCTGTACGTCATTGCGCTATATCACTGTACTTGATAATTCCACCCGAAATTATCTATTCTATTTTGATTTAGAGGTTACTCAGGATATGCTTATTGATTACAAGTTAGCTGCCACTATCAATTGATATCAGTTGAAAAACCATCAAACACAAGGAAAGATTACATCATGAGTCATGGTAACACACTGCTGATGAAAACCGTTCTAGGATGAAACAACTGTCCAGCAATCCTTTTTGTGGTATCAGTCCATAATGAAGACCGGCAAGATAGTCATTCGGTTACGATACATTTATATCATTTTTAATGTTGTTTTGAATGCATGTAATCTGCATTCCTTTTTGTAATCATTCTAAGGGAAAATTGTAATACAAACCAAGTGCTTCTTTCTTCAATATAATTGAACTAAGTTCACACTGAGATTTCGTAACATTTTTGATAAGGGTTAATAGCATACATCTTTTAATGTTCAATGTTTGTTACTGTTTTGAAAAAGCTTAGTAGAATGCTAATCACTTGTTTCGTCTTTCATTGGTCGTATAACTACTCAAAACCTACGGAAAATAAATCAGCATTATTTTGGTTATACTGTATTCTCTAACCTGATTGAAAAAGTCATCAGGTGACCTGCTTAAATCTTATTACTACTATTATTTTCCCTTGGGTTCCTAGTAGGATATAGGGATTCATTAGCATGCATCCGTTTCACTCTCTTCTCTACAGTCTTCTGAAACTCACTCAGCCAATGCCAACAACATGTCATTTCTTCCTCACATCATCTACTTCACCTCAACCTCTCCTCAGACACCAAATTAGTCGTCTCCCCTTATCACTACACTCCACAGACTAGCCTGGCACGTCATGTCCCCAATCCGCCTTCTCAGTGTAGCCCCAATACAATCCATCTCCAATTTCTTCTAATGCATATTTGTTGAGTGATAGGTGGTTGGTTCGTTGCCAGTCAGCCAGCCAGCCAGCCAGCCAGCCAACCAGAGTTCACACTCACTTATTCTTATTATTCTGGCCACCTCATCTCCATCTTCAGTGTCAGTATCGAGTGAGTGTAGGCAGCAGCTGTTGATGTGATGTATGTCTCTATTTTGATCGAAGTGCTTTTCGAGACTCCCCAAGTCTCTCAACCATCACATGGAAGCACTGACTTGACGTCGGTGTGGAAAATCCAGATCGTGCTCACGTGTTGTGCTGAGTGGAGTGCAGTGAATCTCCACACTGATTTCAGAATAATGCAGGAAGGCCTATCTTACTTTTCCAATCCTGGTTGGCTTTGACGTCGTCTATGCCACCACCACCTGTAGTTGAGACGATGCTGCCTTGTTAGGAGAGGTGGAAGAGACTACCTCCTTTAAGTTTCTCCTGTTGATGGTGATTGGAGTTTGTTGTTGTTGTTGTTGGTGGTGGTGGTGGTGATGGTGTTAGCGTTGGTTGGGTATCTTCATCACCTCCATCTTCTCTACATTCACTTGAAGTCCCGTCTTCGCTGCCCTGCCCCACCTCTTCTGTCAACTTGTTAGTTTTTGCCTGTAAATCTTCCAGTTTGTGCGACATTAGATGTGAATCATCATTGTCGAAATCTACATCTTGTAGGTTTTTTCTTCAGTCCAGTCAGGGTATGCCTATCTTCAAACAGTTCCTGACGGTTTGTTGCACAATCCAGTCCACCACAATCAGGAACATCATGGGTGATAGTAGGCAACCCTGCTTAAATATTGGGCTGTCCAAAAAACTTTCCGCCAACTACTTTTCATAAAAAACTCTTCACCTTCAGTTTGTTTTAATCTGTTAAATGTCTTCTATACGTATCATGTACTCTCTCACGTTTTGAAAATGTTTTCGACCTTTCTTTTCTCAAGTTAAGAGGAAAACAGAGGAAAGATTTTCCACTGGTTAGAAATGAATAGGTAAATGGTTAAAAATATACCATATTACTATTCTTAGGATACCTTTATAAGATTGTGAATTTCTATACTGGCTTACTGATCTGCCACCACCAAAATTACACTCTATTTTGTGTTAATTTCCCAATCAACAACAAACGCTGATGTAACACTAACTGACCGTTTCATATTTATACCTTCAATATTGTTATTATTAACACTATGCAGATGTAATTATCCTTTTTATAAATATTGTAAGGAAAGTGAATTTATTGCAATATTCCATACTGTATCATATATGCTGTTTGGAATAAAGCAATTATTATTATTGTAATTTAGTTCGTTGCGGCTTGCAAAGGAATCCAGGATACGCGTTTCACACTGTCTGGGACACGCTATCTGGATGTAACTGCATCCCAGTGGGTGATGTTATTCCCGCTGAGACTCTAACTTTGAACCCATAGCTTTAAACGCCAAGGCGTTGTCCACTATGCTACGGAGGAAAGATTGCCACTTCTTGTAAAACGAATATTAGTTATTACTACTGATTGATATATTTGTAATTCTCCATTGTTTCAATGGATCGAATTATCCGACCTCTATTTGCATATGGGCTCTAGTGCAGATGTCTCAATACTACCTGAATGTTACTTATGGTAATTTGGTTGGTTGTAGCTAGCAAAGGAATCCAAGACAGGCATTTCAACCTATTTTGGTCAGTCAATTCATGAACTTAACAAAACACTAAGCAGAAAATAAGAATGAATTTTTATTCAAAATTTCTTAGTTTGTTCTGAAATATTTATACACTCATTGTAATGTTATTGTTAAGATATCTGAAGAATTATCTGTCATTAAAGTTCACAGAATTGATGACAATGAATCTGTCCGTTGATATTGCATTCTAAAAGAAAATTTAACAAAATATTAGAAATGTTTTTCAAATTAAAAGATTATTAATCAACCATGAGAAAGACAATAAACAATAAGCAAAGATGGAACATTAGATCTCATAAGAATTATATCACCTATTGCTGTACATTTTCATCTAGCCGTCTAGTGATGAAATCTAAAGGAGTGCATAGATCGGAATCCATTTCGCAGCGATTTCCTCTAACTACTTTCTAAAAGAAACTGGGTCCAGTCCGGTTGACGATGTATAACCATATCCTTTATCTATCAATCATATTCGTTGCATAAAGTATCACTGTTATCTCAATATTTTCAGTTCCATTGAAATAAAAAATCACTTTTCAGCATGAACCAATTAAAATTTACAGTTGACACAAGTTGAAGTACAGTCCACTATTCATCACTGACTTGTTTCAAGATGAAATTCCTGAAGTTTTAATAAGAAATCTTGACCGATTGGGTAAACTATATCGGAAGTAAGAAAAAAAAATACTCAGAGATGGCTTTGATTGAAAGTTACGCTATATTGAGAACTGATAGAAGTAAGAAAACGTGAACTATTCGGTTCCAAACCAGTGTGTGAATTGTAGCATGCTCGCCATGAAAGTTGAAGGTTCTGGTTCCAATCCCTGGTGAGGTTATGAGGACTAACAGGTGGTAAGTACCATACTAGGACAAAATAGGTTGAAATAAGTAGTGTGTCTTTAGTGTGCTATGACAAACTATGTCTGCGTTCGAACTCCAGTGTTTGAAAGCTGACTGGAGAAGAATCTATAGAAACGAATACGAGTAGAATTCAGAGCGAAACTGAACAATATCAAGTATCATTTTCACTCATGGTGTAGCGGTTAATAGTTCAAATTAGGAACATACGTTGTTCGGTACAACAAAAAACACTGTGGGCTGTTCAGCAAGTAGTCTGAATATTAGTGATTATTTAAAGCATGTATAGTTGTCGCATTCACTTACTGAAACGTGAAACTGAAAATCTGTATCCCAGTATCATTTTAAGACTGGCTGTTACATCTTCTGTTTACCAGAATAACTGACAGGGATGTTAACATGAAAACACTGCACTCTAGACTGTCTTACTAATGATAGCTAAGCAGTAATTTGTGCTACCTTCTGTGGCATTTCATGAAATTATTCCCCGCTGGAATCGGGGAGATGAAGTGACCCCGGTTGGTGAAAGCCATCGGGAAGCCAATTGGCCGATATGTCTTCTCTCGATGAAAGCGAAAGTAAGATTGAGGACAAGGAATGTCCGCACCATGTATGAACCTAGCAAAGCTGCCCAGATTGCAAAACAGATGAGGAGGTATGGTGTGGAAGTGTTAGGCTGGGAATCAGCGAAAGCAGGTGGAATAGAAGCGGACTCTCCAAACTGTCAACTGGAGAGTCAAATTGCAACGCTGCGCATCATCATAGAACAGAGCATAGAATGCCAGTCAACTCAACTCAATCTAAACTTCATCCAATTTGAAAAGATCTTCGACAGAGTTGACCGAGAAGTAATTTGGCAGTTGCTTGAAAATGCCACATGCCAAGTGATCCACAACGGAAAACTCACTGACGCCTTCGAATTGAAGACAGGAGTAAGACAAGGCTGCCACCCACTATCACCAATCATCTTCCTGATTGTAGTGATTGTGCAACAAACCGTCAGGAACTGTTTGAAGATAGGCATACCCTGACTGGACTGAAGAAAAAACCTACAAGATGTAGATTTCGACAATGATGATTCACATCTAATGTCGCACAAACTGGAAGATTTACAGGCAAAAACTAACAAGTTGACAGAAGAGGTGGGGCAGGGCAGCGAAGACGGGACTTCAAGTGAATGTAGAGAAGATGGAGGTGATGAAGATACCCAACCAACGCTAACACCATCACCACCACCACCACCAACAACAACAACAACAAACTCCAATCACCATCAACAGGAGAAACTTAAAGGAGGTAGTCTCTTCCACCTCTCCTAACAAGGCAGCATCGTCTCAACTACAGGTGGTGGTGGCATAGACGACGTCAAAGCCAACCAGGATTGGAAAAGTAAGATAGGCCTTCCTGCATTATTCTGAAATCAGTGTGGAGATTCACTGCACTCCACTCAGCACAACACGTGAGCACGATCTGGATTTTCCACACCGACGTCAAGTCAGTGCTTCCATGTGATGGTTGAGAGACTTGGGGAGTCTCGAAAAGCACTTCGATCAAAATAGAGACATACATCACATCAACAGCTGCTGCCTACACTCACTCGATACTGACGCTGAAGATGGAGATGAGATGGCTAAAATAATAAGAATAAGTGAGTGTGAACTCTGGTTGGCTGGCTGGCTGGCTGACTGGCAACGAACCAACCACCTATCACTCAACAAATATGCATTAGAAGAAATTGGAGATGGATTGTATTGGGGCTACACTGAGAAGGTGGATTGGGGACATGACGTGCAGGGCTAGTCCGTGGAGTGTAATGCCAGGGGGAGACTACTAGTTGTGTGTGTGAGGAGAGGTTGAGGTGAAGTAGATGATGTGAGGAAGAAATGACAGTTTGTTGGGCATTGGCTGAACGAGTTTCAGAAGACTGTAGAGAAGAGAGTGAAACGGAGGCGTGCTAGTGAATCCGTATGTCTCACTGCTACCTCAAGGGTAATATAATAATTATAACAATACTGTATTCAGATTAGTACATCGTAGGAATGTTGAAAGCTAACTGCCGAAAAAACAAGAAAAATTGAAAAATTTATAATCTGTTTGAGAATACTGATATGTGTTACACAATATCATGATGCATAATGGACAATTATCTATGCATAAATCAGTGTTCTACCTCCTTTTTTTAATTTCAATTGGTTCATCATAATGAAATTCTTTGACAGGAGACCAACGTTTAATGAAACTGTGATATCTGCACAATGAAAGAATAAAAATATGTAGGAACTTTCCTAATTATGATTAGTAAATATGAGTTTTCATCAAAAGTGAAACATTCGCCAATCTACTTGTCACACTTGTCTTTCCTTCTAAAAGCCCTAACGATGACGTTTAGTCGACAATATCATTCATCACATAAATATATTACTGTATAGTGCTCATTAGTGACTTGCTTCCTGATGGATGTCAGGAAGTTCTAGTAAGAAGCCTTGACCTGTGGGGTCAACCATTCGGAAGTGAAGTGTATGCTAACTGAAGACATTTGGTGTTATGCGCGCTATGTCGTGAACTGACAGAAGTTGGAAATTGTGAACCACTGGAAACTGACCTAGTGTCTGAATTGTTAACGCGTTCACCGTGAAACCTGAAGGTCCTAAGTTTTATTTCTAGCCGGGTCATAGGTGCGTACTGATGAGGAGTCCCGTACTGCGAAGAAACAGCCGTCCAATGCTGCCGGATTTTCAATGGTTCCCCAACTGATTTCAGTCCATGATGAATACTACTTCTACATATCATATATCTTTTCAATAGTGTTCATTGCATTAATCGTCTTCAACTAGAAAAAATCTTGACTCTGAAAAAATTAAGCGTTTTTTTCAGTATCTTTTAGTTTAGTACACATCAGTGCTAAGTCTTAAGGTATTTAACAAATTATTCACTCTGTTAGAAACCTGCATTGAAGGTTAAAAGATCCTTTCGATGCAATTAAGCAAAATAATTTGGTGTACCAAGTCCCTTGCAATGATTGTGAAGTCAATTACGTAGGTCGAAGCAGCCGACCAGAGTCGATTAGAATAACACAGCATAAAAAGTTAGCTACATCAAGATGAGTAGATCCTAATTAGATAAGAAATCTAGAGAAAAGCTTAACTATAGCCCTCCACTCAGTTGGGTGGGATAGAGCGACAGCATTACAACTAACTTAGTAGGATGAAGGGAGGGAGAGATTGACGACTGAATCTTTGCTTATCGAATCAGCACCAAATACATACAGTAATGTAAATGATTCTTCACCTGTACCAGATATATGGAAGATTCTACTACCCTTGTCTTGTCACAAGGAAGGAGAGAAAATTAGGACTATATAAAGGATGTCTCGAAGTTGTGGAATTGCTTCATCTGATATGAATATGGACAATGTATTGTGTCTGAAACATTGTCCAGTAAATGATACTGCTTCACCACTGTGTGATATTTATAATAAACAGACAAAAATGGAATTATAATCTACCACAGTGACCAAATTTTACTCTTATATAGTTTATTCCCATGATTCTCATCTTTTGAAAATGAGGATATCAATTGAAGTAGGAGTGATTTCGTGAAAAGTAGGTAGCTCTTATCAGAAATTTCCAAGACATTTAACCACCTTCTTTTATTTGATCTGGAATTAATAATGTAGAATAAAAATTGAAGAGCGTTGGAAAGTCTATAGGTATACATCGAACTTTATTTAAAACCCGATGCTCAATTAAGATGTAACCGTGAACTTGTAAACTTTCAGTTTGCATTTTCATAAATGCATACTATGATCTCTAATTTACATATATTCCAAGTGTGGTTGGTTCATTCAAGCTACATAGACAAGTTTATGATTATAGTGAAATATATTTTCAAAGAAAAACAACGCTATTACCAAGGACTCTTCAGTTTTCATTCAGAATGACTGTAATTACAGAACACTACGTTTGTTGGTTTCCTGTGAAGAGTGAAAAGACGTGTATACGCTGGCTAGACCGATGGAAAGATCCTAGAAGATTTGGATTTCGCCAATGATGAACTATGTCTAATGTCTTTTCGCACAAACTCGAAGATCTACAGGCGAAAAATAACAAGTTGGCACCAAACATGAGGGAGTGAAGGAAGACGGGACTTCTTGCAGGTGAACGTGGATAAGACGGAGGTGATGAAGATATCCAACCAACAACAACAAGCACTATCAAGGTGAGAAATGCAAACAAAGTTGTCTCTTTCAAATACCTAGGCAAGGCAGCATCGTCTCAACTAAATCGGATATAGTCACAGATGAAGATGTCAAAGCCAGGATCGGAAAAGCAAGACAGGCCTTCCTTCATTAATATGAAATAATCAGTGTGAAGATCTACTGCACTGCACCCAGCATAAAGCCTGAACAAGATCCGGATTTCCAACACGACTGTCAGTCAAGTAAGTCAGTGCTCCTATGTGATGGCATGTTACGTTCCAAGTAAATTCTCAGTGGGCTCCCCACTAGGTCTCATATTACTGAACCTTTTTCTATTGAAAATGTAGGATGGTCTTGGTTGTATTGTGTTCTCTGAGCTGGGTTGTTTAATCGTGAAGCTTACATCGTCCTTCTGGACGACATCATCAGCACTAACAAATATTCTCCACTATTTCAAAATCATACGAGTATAACATGCTTCATGTTGTTCAAAGATGGGAGGACTTCTCCTAAAGGCGAGCTTCCACAATAGCACAACTATTCTTTCTCCATAAGTGCCTACATCAGCATATTCTGCCGAAGCATGTCAGATATAGACCACCGATTGACTGTCCAATGGGATGGAAAATAGCTGAACAAAGTGGAAGACAAATGGTACAATTGATGATCACAGATGCACATCATCGGATTCGGAAATACTAATCAGTGATTAACAATCAAAAGAGATGTCGTCAAGAAAGACGATGTAAGCTCCACGATTAAACAACTCAGATGACACAACACAATACAACCAACACCATCCAACTGAACTACAAATACCCCCCACTAGTTCATAATATACGTGAAATGAATAGAATGAAAGAGTTAGAAAGGGTATGGATGTCTTGAAACTCTAAACATCGGAACCACGAAACAATCAGAGGTTATGCAAGTCTCTTTTTGATGCGAAGATCCAAATCCTAGGTAACATGTTCATGGTGGAATTGGAAAGTGGACCACTGCATAGCACGACAGATACACTCTCCTTGTTTTGCAAATAAATGGATGACACTTTCGTTCCATACAAAAACGAACCTAATCCTGTCATTCTTCTCGACACATTCAACAGTGCTCATCCAGAAGTCGAGTTCATATATGAAACAGAGGAAGATGGACGTCTGCCATTTCCAGTTGTTTTGCTATCAAGATGAACAGATGGAAGTATCGGATGCAGTATGTATCATGAGAAATCATGGGTTGGTCAGTACATACATTTCCGATCATCTGTCCTGTCCCTCTGACGTACAAAAGTAAATTAATCCGTACTCTAGTGTTTCGAGCCAGTAGGATTTGCACAGGTGATATTTGAACGAGTGAATAAGAGTAATAGAGAGCTGTTTATTCGTGAATGGCCCTCGTGAAAGATTGGTGAGGACTGTGACAATGAAAACAGTGCCATTAAATGGTGTCGAAGAAACGATTGTGTCACCTTAGTGTTCAAGGGAGATGCAAAAAACCTTTTCTATGCCACACTATGTTTGAAATTTACTACTCTCTGTATTATGCTAATTCAGTTGAAGTATAGACTTTCGAATGTGGCTACACCTATTGTCATTTATAAATTTAACTGCTCCTGTAGATATAATCAACTAGATAGAACGATTTGGCAAGCCCATCATGACTTCACTGAACATTTCCCAGACTGGTTAGGTGAAGGTAGCATGTCATCGAAATGAATTAAAAGGTTAGTGCTTAAATAGCGTTTCAGATATTATATAGGAAGAGTGAGGGATGCATGCTGAAATCTGTCGAAGTGTTAAGTATTACTAAGCTTAAGTCTTAGTTGTGTGTACAAAAATAATTTGTTATTTCCACTTCATTCTGTTGATTAGACATGTCACACAGTGAAAGGACAGTACTATTCATGGGATAACGTTTGGAACTTAATTGATTGTTCATATTCATATCAAGTGACTCTAAGACTTTGAGAAAGAGTTTATATATATATATATATATATATATATATATATATATATATATATATATATGCATGTATTTGGTGTTGATTTGATAAACGAAGATTCAGTTACCAGTCTCTTCCTCCACCCAACTAAGTTTTTAGCGCTGTTGCTCTATCCCACCCGGCTGTATGATTTTGCATAATTGCGTTGAGAGCTACAGCCGAGCTTCTCTCTAAATTTCTTATCTTATTAGGATCTACTTATCTTGATTTCGTTAAGTTATTCTAATCGACTCTTGCTGTGTCAACTAATTTGACCTATGTATTTGAACTCACAATCATAGGAAGAGATTTGGTAAACCAGGTTATTTTGCTTTGTTGCATCGATAAGATCTTTTAATTTACGAAGCTTGTCGAAGCTTTGTCGATTTAAATGCCAGCCAATTTAATCTCAGTCTTATTGAGGATGATTTGTAGTGCTTCTGAGGTGCTTCCCTTATATAGTAACACATCAGAGGCTTTGAGTTTTCTCTAAACCCTGTAACCGTTATTACTACCATTATTAGTAGTAGGATTATTGTTAATAACTCCTGTAATACTGCTGCTCATTTTTTTTCTGTCGATTCATTATGAGTTTATTTATATATTTAGGTAGGTAATTATTGAGACAGAAAGTATTCTTTATGTGTCTAATTTCTTGTTGTAGATTTTCTGGTCTACTGGTAAGCCTTTAGGCGCTATCATTTGGACGTTTAATTAAGCCTACTTTAACTGAGATGGGGTGGGAGGATTCGAAGTCTAAATAGCCATTTGAATAGGTAGGTTTCTTATAGATGCTAATCTCTAAACTTCCATCTTATGTTCCTTTAATCTTTCAATCCAACATTGCTAACTCACTTTCACCATTGTCTTATTCACAGGTAAATTGGATTGGATTCAATACTGAATTCATATGCTCCCAGAACGTATTGATGGGTTTGGATTTGACTTAATTTACCATGTTAATCCTTAACTAATTATATTGCCAGGACTAGTTTCACAACCATTTCATATTCATTATATTATGCTTGACCTTGGATTCTTTTCTTCCATTTTCATGTATAAGTTGACTTGACAACAAAATGTTTGTGATCAGATTGTTCGAAATGTACTAAGCAAATACACCATACATATTGTTCAGATAATCTTCTTCTTCGAATAACGTTGTCAAAATAACAGAAGCCAGAGAAGCAGCATTGTCATTCAGATATCTGGTATTACATTAGCACCTGGTTTAGACTTGTGAATAAATAGAATATTGAAGGTAATTTTGGTTGTAGTTGTTCAACCAATCAGTACCAAAATCTGTAGTTCGATATAGTCACCAAAGAAATTGTTATATACTGTATTTCTTTGCATTTATAAGGCCATCTTTTACTAATGTATCGTTTATTCTTTGTTTGAAAAATGGCGGTTTGGAATGATTTTAAAAAGTGCGCAAGAATACTTGACACATTTAAAGGACATATTTGAAAGATTAAAACAAATTGAAAGGAATGAATTTCATGAAATAAATTTAGTGGAAAATTTTTGATAATCAGAATTCGAAGTAGGCTATCATTGTGATTTACCTCTTTTTTTTAATTTCTACTGGCTCATCGTAGTGGAATTCTTTGACAGGGGACCAATATTTATTGTATGTTTTATGCCTACACATCGAAGGAATGGAAGGACATAAGATTTTCCTTAATACTTTAGTAAATTGTACAGATTAAATATGATGAATGAGGGTACTATTCAAAAGACAGGGTCTTATAAAACAATACTCCAAGTAATACAGAGTTGACGATATTATTATGTATCTCTTAAGTATTGTTCACTGAGTTTGCCATTTTCAACTTGAAAAAGCCTCGAATGTGAACAAATCAAGTGTTTTCTTCAGTGTTTGCTTGTCTAGTACGTATCACTGTTCAACTTTTAGATCTTTTACAGTTCACTACCATAATTTAATCTTTCTGCAAATGAGGATATCAAATGTAGTTGGAATAGTTTCACAAAGGACACTTAAAGTTTTCAAATAACGATTCCCAACTCATATGATCCCCTTTGATGCTTACAGTTATGAAGGAAAATTAAGATTGTAGGATAAGTAACACTACTAAATAATGCAGAGGTTTAACTGAAATTTTCAGATACTACCTACTATTTAGTTGAAATACAACCTTGAAATCCAAAACTTTCAGTTTGTTTCACTTTGTACAGTGTGAATATCATACTATCTCTGTAGTAAGCTTCTGTAGGCTGCATACTACGGTGACTACTATATATATTTCAGTAGTGCAAAACATGACAGTAAAGTCTGAAAGCAATGCAATGCGAAATGATGTTATGATATGAATTGAACTCCTCAAGAACCCTTCGTTTTTAGCATTTCTAGACGTCATGTTGTCTATATTATCTTATTCACGACCTAAATGTCTTGATGTCTGTTATCACAACAGCCTATCAGTTGACTTTAATGTGAAGTCTTAATAAGAATTTTGTAATTACAAATGAAACTGTAAGTCTCTATAGTTTTCTCAGATGAAAACAATGAGTTTTAGCCAAGAAAAGTAAATTGAATTTTGAGGGAGATGTGGAGATTTGGAAATATTTCAAGTTGTTATTCATCGTAGAGTGACATCAGTTGGAGGAATAAAGGGAAGCTGGAAGCACTGGACAGCCGTTTCGTCCAACCAGTATGGGACTCCTCAGCAGTGCACATCCACAACCCCGCCAACCAGGGATCGAACCCACCACCTTCAGGTTCCGCACCCAGTGCGTTACCATTGAGCCACTGGGTCACAGGTTTCTTTTGTTCCTCCAACGGATGTTAGTCTACGCTGAATAACAACTTGAAATAAGAGGAGTTATGTTTTACTACTGACTAAATATTAGATAGACAATTAAACCTTATGATGAAATGTAATCTCAAAGAAAAATAACACCGTAAACTTGGTTTATCCACTTTTCTTTTAGGAGGATTATGTTCAAAGCATGCGAAGTTTGGTGGCTTATAGCAAACGATATAACCAGCCTCATGATATGTTACCGTTGAGATTCAGTTGATATTTTTTAGGGAATTTGTCAACTTGTGAGTCTTAGTTTATATCAGGGATCGATATTAATCGAGAAACTTTAGAACCTCTGGAAGCAAGGAGTGTGTACTTACTTATGATGTGCGACTTCTCAGGACTGCCCACCATCGGCCACATAAAGAACTGAAGCCTAAACCATCAGGTATCGTGACGATTATATTATCATTGGGCATCTTGACAGTCGGCTGTCTCCTACCTCTGCTAGAATAACGCACCTATCAACCATTATCACAGATAGCCATCCGCAGACCTTCCAACTCGCTTGGTACTACAGGTAACAACTTCGAGAAATCCATTCTGACAATATTACTTCAGTAACAACAATCTACTGAGCAACCTACTTTTACGATGACATTTTTGAGTAGAAAACAAGCTAAATGAAGCTAAATACTTAACAGTTGTATAAATTTAGTGTGGGACTTCTCAACAACACTTGTCCAAGATGTCGACAGGAATTGAACTCAGGGCGTTCATGTTTCAATCTAAATCAAAACAGCTAAGTGCTTGTCATAAATAATTTCCATAAATGACTCAACAGAGAAGGAGAGTATTCACAATAAATCAAAAGTCTTTTGGCATATGGTAAAGTTATCATCAGCCACTCAACAGAACGCTACAATTATGCTCATCTCCATGTATACATACGATTCACTGGCCAGGAAACGTATAGTAAATGTAAACTACATTTAAAATTCATGCATCATCCATCATGAGTGTTGTGATATTTTGACTTACTGAATAGTAATATAATATGAATAGAATAGTTTTGAAAATCCTATAATTATGTAACAAATCATTGAATGAGAATATTTACCTTTTTCTTACTTCTATGGGCTCATCATAGTGAAACTCTTTGACAGGGGACCAACGTTTATTCAGGTTATATGACCTTTATCAACAAACACAACTGAAATTTGGTAATTTGTAAAAAGTTATCAATATTACTGATTTCGAGAAAATAGTAATAATTGCTTCAGTTAAATAAAAATAGGCTTAGATACTTTCATTATTCCCATTGTGACATTGAAAACAAGATATTCAGAGAAAAGGACTCCTTTCAACCAACTTATTCTCAAGCTGTACATTCCTATGTATTATTATTATTATTGGTCCCTTGGGTTCCTAGTGAAACATAGGGCCTCAGTAGCACGTCTCCATTCCACTCTCTTCTCTGAGATCTTTTGAACCTGGCCCCACGACAGCCCACAACCTCTCACTTCCTCCTCGCACGATCTCCTCCATGTCACCCTCACCTCGGACGTCCAACTCGTCGCTTCCCATGGGGATTCCACTCGAGTGACTGGCCTGACGCATGATGTCCCCAGTCGACCTTCTCAGTGCATACACAATCCATCTCCACTTCCTCCTGTATATTTGTTGCGTGATAGGTTCTTGGTTGGTTCGTTCCCAGAGCTCCTTGTTGCTTATTCGTATTATTCTAGCCATCTGATCTTCAGTAGCGAGCCATCGTAAGCAGCTGTTGATGAATGTCTGTAGTTTATTGGAAATCCCTTTCGTAACGCGCCAAGTCTTTCAACCATACAGAAGCACTGACTTGACGTTGGTGTTGAAAATCCGGATGTTGTTGCACATGCTGAGTGCAGTGAAGCAGATCTCCACACTGGTTTCAGGCTAATGAACACCTGTCTTGCTGTGCATACATATATCATATTTAAAGACTGTAATCTGAGGAGGATTTGACTGAAATAATGGGAAGTTGAAACAATAAAAATGATGGTGGTGATAATTATAATGTTGCTAGTTAATGACGTAAAGGTTGAATGGTAACAAAAGGGGGTTATGTAAGATTTTCAACTGGTTTATAAAGTGCATATAGATTAGAAAGGGGTGAGGACGTTAATAAGCAATCAAAGGTGATTAGGTAATATAAATGAGACAAGCCAATCGGAGTAAATTGAAACTGTTTTGTTAAAAGTTGCGATTATTAGGAAGAATAAATGAAATAACGCCGGAAACAAATAAATACAAAACAATAGGGTGATAATGATGATATAACCATACAAAGATTAATCTGACGAAAAAGGGGAAGGGGGTGAAAAACGAAAAAAAAGGAGGACGAAGCGCACCAAAGCTAAAATAAATTAAGGCCAAGGTAGAGACAAAGATTGTACCTTCTTCTTTTGCACACAAAGGTAAGGTTTTAGTTCATGGATAGCCAAAGCCTCTGCTGTTTTTTAAGAAGCTGAACATGGAGGAAACGTGAGGTGTTGGGGCGAATTCGATAGATAACCCTGAGATCCTTTTTGGGTCGGCTGAATGGTTGGAATCGATTAAATGCTCAAGGGTAGAACTTCTGATGCATTTCCTTTGAACCTTATAAGACCAGGCCAGAATATATACTCGTATACGCGTTGAAAGCAATCTCTGACTACGGCCGATGTACCTTTCTCCATAGGAGCAGGTGAACTGGTAGATAACGTTCTCACCCCTTTCTAATCTATATGCACTTTATAAACCAGTTGAAAATCTTACATAACCCCCTTTTGTTACCATTCAACCTTTACGTCATCAACTAGCAACATTATAATTATCACCACCATCATTTTTATTGTTTCAACTTCCCATTATTTCAGTCAAATCCTCCTCAGATTACAGTCTTTAAATATGATATATGTATACATAGGATTGTACAGCTTGAGAATAAGTTCGCTGAATATCTTGTTTTCGGTATGCTTGGATCTCATATACATGAAAGATGGTTTTGAGAAACTATGGTGAAATTCTCAAATGAAATCACCACACCTAGAAAGATACCTTTAAGTATTGAAATGAGTATAAACCTAGGGCACTGTGGCAGAATGTAGATCCATATTAGATTTGTTTATTTGATTTATAACACACAGTGAACAGTATTATTTACTTGATGACGTTTCAAGCATAAATCATCATCGTTCATCATCATATTAATGTAATCACACTCCACTTTCGACATCTGACTTTGATATTCCTATCACTTCATACTATATGTTTTGATTGGTAGTAAAATTTACGATATATCTGGCTTGGATAGACGATACGCCATTTCTATTACATGTGTTGGGTGTTGACTGATTCGATGAACAGAGATTCAGTAATCAATCTCTCTCTCCCTGCACCTAATTATATTGGATTGACGTGAAGAAGTCCTTTGTAGTTTCGTACTCCCCTTTTGTTCTGGGTGTTGAATTCGAACTGTGGTCTATCACCAACTTCTGTGAAGGCTTTCAACTTGACTTTGAAGGTAGATTTTTTGTACTAGATAGTGAGTGGTGTAAACCTGCATCTGCTGTCCTTCTTCATTTTGTGTCCAGTAGGTTGCCTGTCCACTTTCTTCACATCGAGATGAAGTCGATCTGATTTGTAGTGTGTCCATCTGGTGAAATCCATGTCACTCTTTTTTGCGAATATCCTCGTGTTTATACACACTACCTTCAATCACCAAATCGTTGAATGCACAGAAGTCTGTAAACAGTTCTTCATTCTCTTTCATCATTTCACCGAGTGCTTCTCGGCCCATGGTTAGTTCTCTTCCTGTGTTTTCCGCTCCCAGTTTGGCACTCAGGTCGCTTCAAGCATTATAATTTTGATGTGGCCAACTGCAGTGAGGTCTTTTCCATTACTGATTGCAGTTGTCTGTAGAATTTCTCCTTCTTCGCTTCATCTGCATTATTTGCAGGTGCACAGAGTAGCATTGTATGCTCGAACTTTTCTTCATTCCTTCTGAGTTTAATCTTGCTGTCATGATCCTGATCGCGGAGGAGGAGATTGGTTCCCACTGCTTGGGAGAGAGCCTTCGATGCTGTTAAGAGGCGGACATCATGATAGCCAATCCAAAACTCAGTGTGCTCCTGGTTGTCGTTCGGGGTGGCAGTATCGGAGTAGATTATTGATTCTGCAGTTGAGAGTTTGGAGAGTCCACTTCCATTCCATTAGCTTTCACAGATCCCTAGTTTAGCACTTCTATGCTATACCTTCTCATCTCTTCGGCAATCTGAGAAGCCCTACTAGGTTCATACATGGTGCGGACATCCCATTTCCGCATTCTTACTTTCGCTTTCATTAGAAGAGAGAGAAGATACATAGGCCAATTGGCTTCCCGAAGGCTTTTGCCAACCAGCGTCATTTCGTCTCTCCGATTCCAGCAAGGAATAAGTTTATTTTCACTTTTTTATTTTCTTTGTGCTTTGAAGTTTTTTTAGCGGTTAGATTGGTTTTATGGGGTAGGGGTAGGGTTGCTAGCCCTGTGCCCAACCTTCCCCGTTTATCCGGGCTTAGGACCGGCTAGTGAACTAGTGAACTAGTTACCTACGCGAGATTAAATGGAATTTGATAGATAAGATTATTTCGCTTAGTTGGTTCTATCGGATCCTTAAGCCATCCGACAAAGCTCATCTCTGAGTGAGTTTGTAGGTTTAAAAGCCACTATAATTCCGGCCTTGTTGAGTATCCCTTCTTTATAGGGTAACGGAATGGAGGCTGTGGATTGCTTTCTACTTGTGTTATAGTTATTATCCGTACTAGCGTTACAGTTATTTTTTCGTTTTTTATGTGTTCCTACGAATTTTTTTTAACAAACTGAGGAGAATAATTAGTAGTTATTTATGCTTCTCTTAAGTGCTTTTGTGAATTGTTCAGGTCCTTGCACTGACTAGTCAGTTTTTTGGCTCAATCGTTTAGAAAGTTAACTAACCCTGCCTTAACTGACGTTGTATGATGAGTTTAAGTCATCTCATCCAGTTCACTTGTGAGGAGGTAGAAAATGAACATGGAGACAATCACCTATGTTGAGTTGTAGGATGAAATGAAGGATAGAAGTTGGTTTGGATATTCACATCTACAGGTATCTAGACTTCAAGTCATCTCATCCAAGGTCAGTTAAGGTAGATTTAGTCAAATGTCTAAATGATTGGGCCAAAAATCTGAACAATCATTGTAAGGACTTAAACAAGGAATTGAAGCATATAAAGTAAGCACTAATAGTTAATAACAAAATTCTACATTTTATGTAGAAATCCGTACGAACACATGAGAAACGAAAAAATAACGATAACACAAGTGGGAAGGAGTTGATAGCCTCCATTCTGCTACCCAATAAGGAAACAACACCACAAATGTTACCCGGGATCCCCAGCCAAGCTGGAATTTGGATAGCATTTAAACCTACAAACTCACTCAGAGATGAGGTTTGCCGTATGGTTTAAGGATCTGATAGAAGGAATTAAGCGAAATAATCTAATGTGTCAAATTCCATGTAATGACTATGAGTCAGGTCAAGTACATAGGTGAAACTAGGCAGGCTGATCGGGGTCAGTAAGGATAGTGGAGCATAGGAATTTAACTAAATACAGAATGACAGACCTGAATAACGTCAATAATCTCGAGAGACACTGGACTGTCGAAATGCATACATCCACAGAGAACCACAGAATACAGTGGGATGAAACCACCGTACTCAAGTTCAACAACTTAAATAGGTAGAGACAGAGAGATTGATTACTGAATCTTTGTTCATCGAGTCAACACTCAATGCATGTATTAGGAATGAAGCGACAGCTATCTTAGATATATGGAAAATTGTACTACTGAAATAAACAAAGAATGAGAGGTGACGGGACTATAAAAGTCATATGATTACCTTGATATGATTATGAACAGTAATAATTTATGCTCGAAACGTCGTCATCAAGTAAGCGACACTGTATCACTGTTTGTTACAGATTAAATGAACAAATTCAATATTTAATTACAGAGTAATTTGATCCTTATCAGGTCTAAGATCCCTCTGGATTCACAGTCTAATTGTGTTTATAAAATGAAATGCTCAGACTTCGATATAGTATACATAGGACAGATTTCCCATGAAGTCAAAGTTCGAAAGAAAATTATCACTGAATGGCTTCACCCCATCCCTTAGAAATCTAGTGGAGCTGAAGTGACTTGAAAACACCTCAGCCATAGCTGCTCTACACGAAACAATTTCAGGACACAAGGTGGATCTTGATAATATCAAAAATCTTCACAAATGTCTTAAGAATTATGAAGGACAACTGATAGTAGAATCGTTTCACATAAAGTGGAAACAATTGTCTACACAGAAATAAAGGAGGGAATAAAAGGTAGTTTGACCTGGTCTGAACCTGCCCCATCCCGACATACTGACATGATCAACATTCCTACATGCGATAAGAACTATCACCATTTGTGTACATACAAATCTCATTGTGTAATTCATACACTCTTCAGACGCACAGAATACACCACCAACAAGAGCAAGCACCAACCACCATCAACGAGATAAATCTAAAGGAAGTTGTCTATTTCACCTACCCAGGCAAGGCAGCATCATCTCAACTACAGGCGTCACAGGCACAGATGAGAACGTCAAAGCTAGGATCGGAAAGACAGTGAGACAGGCCTTCCTGCATTATTCTGAAATAATCAGTGTGGAGATCTACTGCACTCAGAATAAAGTACAAGATCCGGATTTTCAACATCAATGTCAGTCAAGTAAGTCAGTGCTTCTATGTGATGGTTGAGAGACTTGCCACCTTACGAAAAAGTATTTCCAATTAACTGCAGACATACATCAAATCAACAGCTGCCAAATTAGAAGAGAAGTGTGTTGCAGTGTGTTGAAGTGTGTTTGCACCACATTGGAACTCCTTCCTTCTCAGTAAAGACTCATTTGTCAACAGAAGCACCTTTTCTCTTTCTTTCTCCTTATTATCAAAGAAAATGTAATAGATAATAAGGCATAGAAGGAGAAGTAGAATATAAAATGTTACTTTACCTCTTTCTTACTTCAATCGGTTCATCATAGTGAAATTCTTTGACAGGAAACCAACGTTTATTAAACGCATCTGATCTATCGGTTTAATAAAAGATGAAAGAGGAAAGTTTGACAAAATTATTGTTTGTTGTTCTGCTTCACGTGGTTAGTATTTGTTACTGTTATTACTTCCTAAAGTTTTAGAGTATTTATGTATTAAAAAAAATCTTTTTTTCCTGATTCCTTAAAAAAAAAATACTTTCCAGACAATGAATGAACTTAAGGAAAAGAATTTCGTTTCATGTCGTCATATTACTATCCTTATTTAGGAAAGATAGGCTTCTAGTTATGTCCACATCTATATGTGTATCTACAAGTTCACATACTCCTGTGGAGCTGACTGTATTGGACGTTGTAAGCGAGCCCTCCAAAAATGTGTTGTTGTATTGTGTTCTCTCAGCTGGGTTGTTTCATCGTGAAGCTCTCATCATCCTTCTAAACGACACCATCAGCAGTAACTTCAGTATGAAGTGAGCTGTCAATATCTCTTCGTGAGTGATTTAGTAGCTTGCCTTGACGAAGCGGTCTATGATTGGTTGTTTCCTTTGATTCTTGTATCATTGGCTGTATAGATTTTCTCGTTGGCTGTCCCTCTGCTTGACCTCTGACCTTTCTGTCGTTTATCATTTTTCTTATTGGTTAATAGATCTAGGTCTATGTCTATACATCTGTTGATTGCTGACTGACCTGAATGACAAGCTTCTAGGAATTCTCTGGTATTCTTTGTATTTCTTCTCTCCATCCAACATTTCTATATTGTCAAAATTGAATTCATGTCCATAATTATCCACATACATTGAAATGAGTGATGAAATGTCATGTGTGACGTTTAATAGCCAATTGGTGCTCATGTAAATGACGAATGTGAAGAGGGTGACCACTTTCTTTAATGTAGTGTTGACTACGGTCACCTGTTGCAGTTGATTTTGTAAATGATATTCGGTTTGTCTTCTTCGGTTGTTTCATACTCTGATGTGCATAATAGTGTTTGCAGGGAATTTGTTGGTTTTCGAGCTACACCGATTCCAAGTGGTTTCAGTAATCTTGTCGTGATTAAACAACCCAGCTCACAGAACACAATACAACCACGACAACGAAATCACCAGGTTTAAACAGTCCAGCTTAGGAGGAGCAACACCATAAAATTAGCCTTTTAAGCTACAAATATTCACTGTCATTCACTAAGTTGTCGAAGACTCCTATGATGGAAGTCGTTACAATGCAGAAGAAATGATGGAATATCATCTGTTTTAACACCAGTCACCTTGATAAGGTGAATCGAGCAAGAATGAATATTTTCGTAGACCAACTTCCAGAAATCTGCTACACCCAATATGGAAGGAGATGAATTACTACAGTTTTTATGTGTGTATGTTGCTTGAGCTAATTTTTTAACTCGTTGCACTGACTAGTCAATTTTCCAGTTCAGTGATTTAAACATCTCACTAAACCCATCTCAACTGACATTCGATGAGATGACTGGAAGTCTACATACCTGTTGGAATGTACCACTTCCCTGTAGACGATATTATCGAAACCATCGTGTATCTTTCATTTTATCCTACAATTCAACATAAGTGATTCTCCCCGCTTTTCATTTTTTACCACATAAGTGAATTACGTTTTGCCTACTACAGTTTATATATGTCAGGAAATTATCTGTGTTCCGATTTCAACGTAGTAAGTGTGTCATCCATATATCACCACCATATCTTAGGTGCAGGATTAAACGTCTTTTAAGCTATGTTTTCCTAACAATCAATATCTTCTACGACTGGGAATATCAGCAATCCTATTGCTACTCCTTCTGTTTTTTTATAAATTTCGTTCTGAAACTTGAAGACTGTGGAGATGAGGCGCAACTATACGCCTAATATGATTTCATCAACCGATATCTAAGTTCTGTATAAAGACTTGTTACATCGAAACTAACCTTGTTTTCATTCTCTTCTATATGTAGATCATCAAGCCATAGTTTTAACTTGTAAGAGTATACTAGTCTGGAATTTGATTAGTTCCCAATAGGAAACAACATCGATGCTAAGTACTTTGTTAGTTCATATGTTGGAGTGTTTCTGAAGTCAACTATGTGTCTAATGGGATAACCTAGTTTATGAACCTTAAAAATGCCATAAATTCTGCTAGGATTATTAGTTTTCGTCGTTAAATTAAACCATTTAGACTTACACAGAATTGGCTTTAGTTAGAGTATTAGATCGGCTGTAGATTTTTCAGCATTATTCATGACGGTGTCTAAGGGTTTCTTGATCTCTTCATATGGTCTTGTATGGATATCCTCCTGAATTGTGTTGAAGTAATTCAATCTGTCCATAACTACTGGTTAATTATCTACGTCAGATTTAGCAGTTACTATATTAGTATCATTTCGATTTAGTCACTAAGGTATTTTCCTTGTTGTCATGTGAATTCATGTTGCATAATCATCTTTTCATCGTGTTCAAATTGACTGCTCAACCAGTTCCATAAGTAATCGTTCTAATGAGGAACCCATGCCTAACTCATCTACGTTTTTTATTCTCTGATTATTAATTTAATTATCTATTTATCATAATGAGAAGCAAGGATGATGAAAGCGAACAATAACATGGTATCACTGTAAGATAGCTGTTATACACTTCATAGACAGTTGAAGCATTTTTCAGTAAGGCATTTTATAGTTAGCATTCTAGTACTTAGTATACTAATAAATATTCTATAGATGTCAGTTGGCTGAATACAGTCGTCAGCAAGCAATGCATCTAGGTTCCATGCTCAGGATTACACAATACAATCTTACACGAGGTCTAAAGCGGCCCGAATAGATCACTTGTAACGTCGCTAACTTTAACCCTGCTTGGTGGATGTTCAAACCTTGTAGGGATGAGGGACATCGATTCTCTCAGGGATACAGATACAACTTGCTGGCGAGTACGAACAACTAAGAAGTCCAATCAATTAACATCCATTTAATATTCCATATATTCTACGCTTACACATGAGTATTATTATATTGTTATTATTATTTGTCCCTTGGGTTCCTAGTGGAACACACGGCTTCACCAGCACGTTGCCATTTCACTCTCTTCTCCACAAACTTGTCAATCTGCCTCCACGACTCCCCACAACATTTCAGTCCTTCATCACACAATCTTCTCCATGTCACTCATGGCTCGGACACGCACCTCGTCGTCTCCCATTCGGCTTCCAATCGACGGCCTGACCTCGACTGATATGTGATGTCCACAAATCATATTCTCAGTCTGTGCACAATACATCTCCACTCGCTTCTGCATATTTGTTGAGCGATAGCTTCTTGGCTGGCTCATCGGCAGCAAGAGTTTACCCTTGCTTATTCTTATTATTCTCACCATCTCATATCCATCTTCACTGTCAGTATCGAGTGAGAGTAGGTGGCAGCTGTTGAAGTGATGTGTGTCTGTACTTTGTTGGAAATGCTTTCCGTAAGGTACCAAGTCTATCAATCATCACTATACAAGCATTGACTTGAAGTTGGTGTTGAAAATCTGGATCTCGTTCACAATTTATGCTGAGTGGAGTGCAATGCAGCGTTGTGGATCTCCACACTGATTATTTCAGATTAATGCGGGAAGGCCTGTCTCACTGTCTTTCCTATCCTGCCTTTGACGTTCCCATCTGTGCTTGTGCCACCTGGAGTTGAGACAATGCTGCCTAGACAGGTAGATAGGTGAAATAGACAACTTCCTTTAGATTTCTCTCATTGATGGTGATTGAAGCATGTTGTTGTTGTTGTTGGTGGTGGTGGTAGTGGTTGGGTATCTTCATCACCTCTCTCTTCTCCACGTTCACCTGAAGGAAGTCCCGTCTTCCTTCACTGCCCCACTCCGTCTCTTTTGCCAAGTTGTTGGTTTTCGCCTGTAGATCTTCGAGTTTGTACAACAAGACATTAGACATGAATCATCATCGTCGAAATCCAAATCTTCAGTTAAGCAAGCAACTCATTTCTTGACACAAGAGTTGAAAGCTACCCAAGTCATCCAATTAGAATGAAATGATTATTCGAGGTATAGCTGGGTATATAAGTTTACTGTGCTTTGATTTGTTTGCAGTCTCATCATCTGATCATTTCGATGAGTTATACCAATTGATGAAAATGATTAGCCTATGTATTAAAATTCCAGATTTTCACGATCAAATCAAATCCTCTTTATTCACCTCGCATGAAGTTTTCTCCTTTAAGACATTAAAAAAAGAGAATTGACTAACCTGAAGCTGTCTACTAACTCTTCATTGTGTTCGGCATTGATTTTCACGAGGAATACTGCCAAGATAAGAGCTGAAATAGTATAATAACAACATTAATGAGCCAAATTGAATTAAAGGTGTTCTGCTACAAACTAAATCTCAATGGAATTAATGAGAAGTGAACTACTTGATGTATGGGTTGTCTTGAAGTTAAATTGATTAAACAAAGAGTTGTTTCGGATTATGACCTGTGATAGTATGGGGTTTTATTTATTAAATATTCCGATTTAGATATTTAGAAAAAGACTGATTGAGCCAGCAAAGAAATATATACTTTATCAATTAGGTCTTCATCTTTGCCTCTACACTAATATACATAGGTTTACAATTTAATCAAATTACCAATCACATGGTGATATATCGGAAATAATGATGTAAATAATCAATAGAGTAGTTAAAATTGGAAATATGAATATTGATAGAAACAAGGGAAGGGGGAAGAGGTGTACAAAGTAAACCTAGAAGTTAGATCATGTTGACTGCCACGGTAATGAAAGTGGTCGAACAAACTCCTTTTGAATACAAAGAATAGGTTTGTTTGTAAAGGTGGATTGGAATCACCTCTGCTATGCAAAGTAAGCGAGTGAGTAATCCATGTAGTGAGTTAATTAGAATCTGATGAATGATTTTGAAAGCTTTTTTAGTATCCACTTGATGTCCTGTGTCAACTAAGTGTGCAAGTATGGAGCTCTTTATAGTTCTAATTTGTCCCTTGTTCAATTATGATGGGTGGTGCTCAGAAGTTTGACGATGGAACTGCCTCATTGTACGCCCAGTGTGACTAGCTTCACAGAAGCAAGTTGAATTGATAAATGGACATAGAAGTAGCAGAATCGGGCAGTTTGTCTTTATTTCTTGCACCTAGAATCACACCGTTGTAGACGATGGGACGTAATTTAGCTGCTGGAAATGCCTTATGCAAGACTCTTGTTATGCTTTGTGTGATGATCACACTAGCAATTTCACTGTTGAATTTCAGCTTCAAGAAGATTTGCTTCTTAGGAACTGTTGGCATTGTTTTCTTAACCCTTGTAATATTCATGTGGTTAGTTAGAAACTTGTCTGGGTAGCTATTCCTACTCAGCAGATCACGGATGGTGGTGCACTCGTCCATTATAGCATTATGTGAGGAAATAGCTGAGGCACGGTATGCTAAGCATTTCACTAGGTTCCTTTTATATTGGAAGGGTACGGCACTCAAGAAGTGCTTATATTGACCTGTTGATGTTGGCTTCAGGGTTCTATCTGACCTTCCTACCAACAGAACATCAAGAAATGGAATACTGTCATTTTTCACCTCTTCCATTGTGAAGTTGATTGCCGAGTGAACAATATTGAACTTCTTCACAACAGCATTCTTATCAGTCTCACTTTTAAGAACTTTAAAAGAACCATCCATGTAACGATAATATAACTCTAAACGGCTAATAGTATCGTTCAGTGGACCTTTCTCAAGTTTTATCGGGAAAAAATCTATTAAGAGCGGGCCAAGGGGTAACCCCATAGAAACACCATCAGATTGCCGGTAGAGTTCATTGTTGGAAGAAAATCGTGTATTCATTGTACACCTCAGAAGTAGTTCTTTCAATGTGGGGACCGGAATACCTATTTCCATGCCATGCTTCGTGAGTTCGCTGCAAATAAAGTCTACTGTCTCCATTAAAGGAACGTCACACGAAATCATTAACTTATTATCTACTTCCAAATCCTCAATCTTTCTGACAAATTCAGAGGTGTCTCTGAGACTATACTTCACAACTTCTTTGTGCAGAGGCTTCAAAAGTTGTACTAACCACTTTGCTGTTGTATGATACGGAGAGTTAGTCATGTCAAGAACTGGTCGTAGAGGCAGACCGTTTTTATGCAATCTCGGTAGACTGTAAAGTCTAGGTGTAACCGTTCCAGTAGGTTTCAGCATTTCGAAGGTGCTTTCTGAAATAAAACCTTATTGGTTTATCTTTTTCAGTGATTCAGTTAGATGTTTCTTGGTTTTCTCTGTTGTATCACTATAAGCGGCTAATTTGTGAAATTTACTTTCATCAATAAGTAAAGAGTTCATTTTGTCTATGTACTCTTTTTTATCCATTAAAACCGTTCTTGATCCTTTATCCGGCTTGGCAATCACTATATTTGCCTTAGTTTTAAGCTTTTTCAAGGCATCTTTATGTTTTTTCATTAAAATACTCTTCATACTGTTCCTACTACTCGGGTACTTTAGACAAGAGTCAATGAGTGTAATCTTGATTCTATCAACGTCTTCACTAGATGATGGTATCAAATCTTCCATCTGTGTATACACATTCTCAACATGATGTAACTTCTAGGATTACTATGTACACCTCTTCCCCCTTCCCCTTGTTTCTATCAATATTCATGTTTCCAATTTTAACTACTCTATTGATTATTTACATCATTATTTCCGATATATCACCATGTGATTGGTGATTTGATTAAATTGTAAACCTATGTATATTAGTGTAGAGGCCAAGATGAAGACCTAGTTGAAAAGGAATATATTTCTTCGCTCAGTCAGTTTTTGTGTATATCGAGCTCTACTCACAAGTTACTAGCCGGTCTTAAGCCCGGGTAAAGAAGGCAGGTTAACTTATGTCTAATGTCACACAAACTTGAAGATCAACAGGTGAAAACTAACAAGTTGACAGAAGAGGCAAGGCAGTGAAGACCGAACTTCAAGACAACTTAGAGAAGACAGAGGTGAAGAAGATACCCTACCAACACCATTAACAATGACAGAAACAAGCTCCAGTCGCCGTGAACGGGAGAAACTTAAAAGAAGTAGCCTCTTTCACCTATCTAAGCAACATTGTCTCAACTACTGGCGGCATAGACACAGGCGAGGATATGAAAATCAGCCAGGATCGAAAACACAGCAAGATAGGCGTTCATTAACCAGCAAACCAATACGGAAATCTTCTACACTCAGAATATGGAACAAGATCCGGATTTTCAACACCAATGAGAAGTCACTGCTTCTACATTGTTCAGAGACTTGGAGCGTTACGAAAAGCATTTCCAACAGACTGCAGATATTCATCATCAACAACTGCCACCTACGCTCACTCGATACTGACACTGAAGATGGAGATGAGATGGTGGGAATACTGAGAATAATGAAGTGAGAACTGTGGCTGGCTGACTGACTGACTGACTGGCAATGAACCAACGAAACAACAATCTATCTCTCAACAAAAATGCATTGGAATGAAGTGGAGATGGATTTGAATGGGCATGCATTGAGAAGACGGATTGGGGACAACACGCGTGAGGCCAGGCTAGGCCAAGCCAGGCCAGACGAGGCACTCGAGTGGAAGGCAGATAGGAAATGACGAGTTTGTTGTCGGGGTTGATGGTGAGATGGATTAGATTGTGTGATTAAGAAATGAGATGTTGTGGTTAGTTGTGGAGCGAGGTTGGAAGGGTTTCAAAGAATAGAGTGGAATGGAGATGTGCTACTGCAGCCATATGTTTGAGTAGGAACCCAAGGGACAAATAATAATAATAATCTTGTATACTCTGATTTCGTATCTTCATCTACGGTTTCTGTAATGAATTAAGCAAAGAGAATGTATCCTGTAAAAAGACTGACGTAAAGCTCTATGAAATAGTAGTACTAACTGATATTAGTAGCTAGCCAGATAACAATAATAATGACTTTACTGTGAGCTATGTTTGAGGAATACTGAACAGATTTTTCAGCAAGTCATGTAGCATCAACTGAACGGCAAGTTAAGTATATTCGTTATGCCTTTTTCGATTGCTCATCAATCTTTTACTCTGTTCCTAGACCACTCCTCTTAGATAAGCTTGCCATTAGTCATACTGAGCAATGGATTACAAAGTGAATGTATTCTTATTTTTTTGAAAGGAAACAGTATACTGCCTGTAAAAGGAAGCGCTCCATTTCATTGCTTACAGAAGGTGATGTGCCTCATGGTGTTGAACTTTCTCCATTTCTGCATTTCCCGTTTTATGGTTTATCTTTTTCTGTTGAAAGTAATTTTATTAAGTATGCTGATAACCTGACGGTACCTATTCCAATTAACCCTCACTTAGATTGCTCTGAATTGAATGGATTCTCTTCTCTTATTGATCAGTGGTCTCTCTCAAATGGTCTCAAGTTAAACCCTTCTAAGTGTAAGACTGTTAGTTTCATTCTTAGGCGGAAACAAGACTTGTGTCAACTGCTTAAATCTCATGACGTCTGTTCCATTGATGATATTCTTACAGTAAGTAAATCGAGTGTTAACTATCTTCGATTGAGTTTCACTTCTGATCTTTGTTGGTCGTCTCACATCTTGTTGACTTGCAAAGAGAATCTTTCATTTAACGTATTACATAAAGAAACTGAGGCACTCTGGTATAACTCAACTTCTATCTTTACAATTTATTAATTCCTGCATTTTACCTATTTTTCTCTATTGTTCCACGTTGGTCTTTCCTGGTCTTCAAAATACGACTATGTTGTATTGTTTGGGGCCGACTGTAGCGTGAGTGCTGTCCCATTGATGCATGCAACTGATTAACACTGTAGTTGACAGACATTTAAATTCTAACAAGCAACTAGCTACACTAATTTGAACTGACACTGAGCATCTACTTCATTCACAGCTCTCTCCTTGTATCTCCATAGGGAGGAGAAGAAGAAACTACGTAAGACTGTACCCTCTTAAAGAAAAGTACAAAAACTCGACTGTACCTTACCTAGCAAGCATATTATATGAGGGCGAAAGGTGTTAGAACAGAACTGATGTATCAACTTTGTAACAGTTAACAATCATACTTCAATAATTTAAGTAAAAATGTAAAATTTTCTCGTTTTTAATATCCTTTACTTAAATTCCGAATTGTATCAAAAATTCTTTAGACTAAAGTGATTATTATCATCATTAACATTATTATAATTATTTTAACGGAATATTCTGCTACACTTAACACAAAGAAGGCGAGAGAATCAGGATTATATAAACCATGTTTCAAAGTTGTGAAGTCATCTTGACACAACTATGGACG